CATTATTTTTATCCATCTACTGCTTCTGAAATTAGTTTGTTTATCCAGTGCCTTAAGAATCATTGTGAGCTTATTTATTTGAGCTCCTTCTGATATTAAAGTAATCACCTAGAGCTACAAACTTCCCTCTTAGGACTAGACTATAGCTCATGGGTGGATTTGGACATGTTGTGTTTTGATTATCGTTTAATTCTAGAAACTTGCTGGAGAGATGGCTCAGTGGTTAAGAACAGTGACTTTTCTTCCAGAGGACCCGGGTTCAATTCCCAGCACCCACATGGTAGCTAACGACTATCTGTAACTCCAAGATCTGACATCCTCTCACAGACATACATACAGGCAAAACACCAACGTACATAAAACGAGAATAATTCTGGAACTTTGAAGTTTTCCTTCTTGATTTCCGCAGTGATCTGCTAGTCATCAGTCAATAGCTGTTTAATTTCAACGAGGCTGCATGTTCTGTAATTTCCTTGCTATTGATTTCCAGCTTTAACTCATGTGGTCAGATAGAGAATGCTTCAATTTTCTTCATTTGCTGAGACCTGCTTTGTTTCCTAATGTGATGTATTTTAGAGACGATTTCGTGGGGTGTTGTGATGAGCGTATTGTTTGGTATTTGGGAAGACTGTCTTTTTTTCTCTTTATGTGCAGGTCTTGTGCCGGCGGTAACTGTCGCCGAATGCTTCTGATTACATTATTAGGTTACGCCGTGCCATATCCACGCTGCATCCACAAGGCCACATTTTATACTGCTCCCCATCCTCCGCTTTAGTTTCTCTACTCCCTTTTCCATGATGTTCCCTTCCTTGAGCCTCAATGTGGGTAACGAAGACATTCCACTTAGGGCTTCATCCTTAGCAGCCTCTTATTCTTGGATTTTGACCAGTTAGTTATGAGTTCTGCATTTGACCATTGTCCACTGTCAAAAGAGGCTTCCCTAAGATGGGAGCTGCACCAGTTGGTGGGGTATAAACAGAAATGCTTAGAAGGCAGTTAGACTACATGCTCATTTAGCAAAGCAATCACATTTTTAGCATTTAGCAAAACATCAATAGTAGATTCCTCCCTAGGCCATGTGACACAGGCTTTTGACCAGGTGTTTCACTTTTCTCTTGCTGTTACAAACCCCACAGTCAAGGCCACTTACAAGAGAAGTCATTTGATTGGGCTCATGGTTTCAGAGGATCAAAGTCCATGATAGCAGAGCAAAGGCATGGCAGTAGACACAACTGAAACCTCACCTCTTGATCCAAAAGTAAGAGGCAGAGAACAGAATACCGGGAATGGTGAGAGTCATTTGAAACTTCCAACTGTCCCCGGTGACACACCACTCCAACAAGGCCACACCCCATAATTCTTCCCAAACAATTCCACCCACTGGGGACCAAGAATCCACTATATTAGTTTTTAGGCATCATTCTCATTCAGACTGCTACACCAGGATTATAGTACCAGGTATGAATTGCCTCCTATGGAGTACGGATCCAATCAAGAAGGGGTTGGTCACTCCTGGGACAATCAAGCCACTATTACACGCACAAGTATACCTTGGCTGATAGTTTGTTGAGATCATTGATGACTTTCTCTCCAACAACCTGAATAGCATCTCCTGACATGATGAAAGGTAACTGGCAGAGAGGAAGCTTCCTATTGGAGGATTTTGTGTAAAGTTGTTGTGATGTGACTTCTGCTTTTAAAGCATCCTTTTGGATGCAGAGTTCACAAGAGTGTGAAGTAGGATAAAGGTGAAAAAGATTAGAGACCAGGAAGAAGGCTACAACAACAATTCAGGAAGGGCTAGTGGTACCCAGAAAGAGGTAGTGAGGCCATGCTCTGTATGTGTTTTAAAACTAGCAGAACAGATATATGGCTATCTGGATGTGAGCTATAAGAAGAGAACAAACAACTTTTTAGAATAGAATATCAGAAAAGTATTTGGAATACAAAGGAGAGAACAAGGATGGAGACAGAGGTCTGAGAAACAGTCACATAGTGCCAATCATGCAAGACAACTTTTACGGTCTCCAAAGAAAGGTGAGTGGTGAACATGGGGGGCATGGAGTGTGAGAAGATAGTGGAGCAGAGTGCTTCAGTAGTGCAAAAGGTGAGACTGTGGGAGGAGGAGCCAGCAGTGACTGAGGAAGCAGACAGACGGCCAGCAGTCACATGGGACTTGGTGCTTTGTGGTAGTCTTTGAAAGAGAACGAATCAATACAACCCAGTCCCGTTGTTTTGGAAAAACTAATGGTGCTATTATCTAGTCTTATTTATGATCTCAGCACTTGTCATTGACTTATACTAATACACCGGCAGTTGACGGGACTTTAATTTGGAATATCAGAACGGTAATTTATATTCTTCTATCATCTCAGTGCTTTTGATTCAGGCTGCTTACTCTGTCCTTACAAACAATGTGTGACTCACCTGTGATGAGTGAGTCTATTCTTCCCATGGACAGTAACCTCATTTTTCTTCGGGTTGTTATTTTTTTTTAATGTATAAAACTCTAGAATTGCTGTCCAGTTCACCTTCGTACTTATAAATCCTTAAAGGGAGCACAAGCTAACATCTCCAGGCTTTACATTGGAGGGCTATGTAAAGAGTGACGTCAGCGAGACCCCCTGCACACTAACAACAGAGCCTAGATTCATCTGCAGAACAAGAGGTCTGTTCTGTCTCAGTTCCCATTGAACTGCTCAGAATTTTCCATCTGTACACCCTGGGCTCAGGGAAGTGTCCCACAAATGCCCTCCACCTTGACAGATTTTGATCTGGGATTTCCTTCTAGTCCCAGATTAGCCATGAACTCCCCACGGCTGCATCTCATAAACTACAATCAGCTGTGCGGTTCTAGTTCGGCCTCCTCTGCTTCAGATCACCCAGGAAGAACCTCCTTCTGCCCCTATTATGTGCTCCGTGAATTCTCTTCTTGTAGGAATATTCATCGCGGTCTTTGGTCCTATCCTACCGCTTTGTCAGAATAAACTAAGAACAATGTACATTATGATTGCCAAGCTTCAAGATCCTTCTAGCACACAATAGATTCTAGCCTGAAGATTTTTAAATTTAGAAGCTTTTTCAGAAAATGTGTTTGTACATTTTCTTACCTATACTCATTAGCATAGAAAGAATTTGCATGAATTTGCAGTTGCAATGGCCAACCCTGGGGGTATACCATATGCCAAGCACTGTTTTCTACTTTATTTACTACTTGTAGCAATGTTCCATGTTCAAGTGTTACTGTCATGCTCATCTTACAGATGGGACAACTGAATTTCTTTTTTTTTTAATTTTTTAAATTGTTTTTATTGAGGTACATACTTTTTTCCACTTCCCTCCCTTCCTCTTCCCTCTCCTTCTACCCTCTTCCATGGTCCTCATTCTCTCAATTTACTCAGGAGATCTTGTCTTTTTTCAATTCCCTGAAGATTAGATCCATGTATGTCTGCCTTAGGGTCCTCATTGTTGGTTCTCTGGGATTGTGAATTGCAGACTTATTTTTCTTTGCTTTATGTCTAAAAGCCACTTATGAGTGAATGCATATGATATTTGTCTTTCTGGGTCCGGGTTACCTCACTCAACATGATGTTATCTAGATCCATCCATTTGCTTGCAAATTTCAAGATGTCATTATTTTTCTCTGTTGTGTAGTGCTCCATCGTGTAAATGTACTACATTTCCTTATCCATTTTTTGATCGAGGGGCATTTAGGTTGTTTCCAGGTTCTGGCTATGTCAACCAATGCTGCTATGAACAAATTTGAGTGTATGTCTCCTTGTGGTATAATTGAGCATCCTTTGGGCATATACCCAAAAGTGGTATTGCTGGGTCTTGAGGAAGGTTGTTTCCTAATTTTCTGAGAAATCGCCATACTGATATCCAAAGGTGCTGTACCAGTTTGCATTCCCATCAGCAATGGAGAAGTGTTCCCTTTACCCCCACATCCTCTCCAATATAAGTTGTCAGCAGTGTTTTAGCTCTTGGCCATTCTGACAGGTGCAAGATGGAATCTCAGGGTTGTTTTGATTTGCATTTCTCTGATGACTAAGAATGTTGAACATTTCTTTAAGTGTCTTTCAGCCATTTTAGATTCCTCTGTTGAGAGTTCTCTGTTTGGGTCTGTACCCTATATTTTTATTGGATTATTTGTTCTTTTGATGACCAATTTCTTGAGTTCTTTGTATTAATATGAAGATCAGCCCTCTGTCAGATGTGGGGCTGGTGAAGATCTTTTCCCATTCTGTAGGCTTCTGTTTTGTCTTGTTGACCATGGACAACTGACTTTCAGACACATGACCCGAAATGGACTTCAAGTCAAGCCGTCTGGTTTTAAAGCCCACCCTGAGTGCCCTACGCTCACTCTCCTGCTTCTGTGGTTATTCAAAATGAAAGTTTCACTGAGTTTGTTGTGTGGATCTTTTTTTTTTTTGTCTTATTGGCAGTAGAGTGGGATTCATAGTTCTGTGGGACAGTGGGTCCCACAGCTTGTAGATGCGTCTGCATTTAGTGACTGCCGCTAGGTATGAAGTTCAGTCCTTACTGCCCTTGACCACTTGGACACAGAAAATGCTCATTCATTTCTTGACATGTTTCCCAGGGAAATGTCTCCAGGTGAGAACCAATGAAGAAGGAAAAAAAAAAGGATGTAAAATATACACATCCTCTGTCAATCTGTCCATTTTAAATAAGTCTATACTCTATAACTTTTCCAAATACTTCAACTTTAAAACACATCAAAGAAATGGGTGTGACAACAAAATGCAGAAGTTTTTAGGTGTGCCTGTGATATTCCTCTTTATTGTGATGTGTGGGGCTAAATGACCTTGGATTGTCTAATGCTTACTATAAAAAAAAATAAAAAAGTTTTACTGTTTACCAAAAGCCTAGTGACTTTTTTTTTTTAAATAGTGCAAAGGTAAACTTGGATCCTGTGCCAATCCTCAAAGTCACCATCTGAAAGTCATGGGGTTTTTCCTGGTCACTCTTTGGCTCTCAGACTTAAGAACATTGCACCAATGCCCACTGTCCTTCCTCAAGGAGACCAGAAAGACCAAGAGTAAATCTTCACATCTAGGCTGAGCGAGCCCCCTTGAGCAGACTGTGTGCTTGAAGCTGAATCTCCAAGGTCATCACATAAGGAAGTCACCTCACAAGGCTGGAATGTGGGCTTTCATAGCTCTATTTTAAGTGACTGCTCCCTCAAGAGCTCTGCAGCAACTCAGGGAGCCCTGCGCGGGAAGGGAGACAGTCACTCGGGGAGGAGAAATGGGCAATTACAAGACATATCCCGGAATAGAAACATCTAGAAATTGTCCTCCTGGTTTTGTTCACTTATTAAAATAGTCTCCTGGTCTTAAACATCTTGATAATTTTACGATACGTCTTGGGAGTTATCAGCACTGAGGTTACATTAGGTTCTGTTGCCTGTAACACATCTGTTCTATAGCGTCCTGCCAGAGCTTGGATACGGTACCTTGATGTCCCCAAGTGCTTCAAATTTAGGTCTCTTATTATTAGAACAATTTAATGACATAGAGATTTTTAAAAAAGAATTTCCCTTTGAGTGCCACAGACCTCACAGTACAGTAAAATGTTTGAAATACACACTACAATTCAGCCAGTGGAAGTAACTCACAAAAATGTTTAATAGTTTCTTAAGAACTGACTGATTAAAATTGTTGTGGAACAGTTTTATAGCGGAGTGAATAAGACTCTGTTTTAGAACACCTATTACCCATAATATATGCACATGGCATTATTCCAGGTTTACATTCCCACCCCCAGGCTACGCATTTCACCTCTCCTCTCCTTGGGTAAGGGTTAAGGGTGCTTTGTGTGAAGAAATATGGCAGGAACCGGCAGCTAGATTTGTGGTGGCTTCTTGCTAGGCGAGTTCGTTCAGTCTGATCTGTGGAAAGGAGAAAACCACTGAATCCGAGTACATAAAAGATTTCCTTCTTTGTTTTGTTTTATTTGTTTGATTTTTGGTTTTGCTTTCTTTCTCTCTCTCTTTCTTTTTCCTTCCTTCCTTCCTTCCTTCCTTCCTTCCTTCCTTCCTTCCTTCCTTCCTTTCTTTCTTTCTTTCTTTCTTTCTTTCTTTCTTTCTTTCTTTCTTTTTTGAGGCAGGGTTTCTCTGGTTAGCCTGGAACTCACTTTGTAGACCAGGCTGGCCTCAAACTCAAAGATCCACCTGCCTCTGCTTTCCAAGTGCTGGGATTAAAGATGTGTACCACCACACCTGGATAGGTTTCATATTTATTATGAAAGTAAAAATGGTATTCCTTAAAACATAAAAGGATCTTGCAAAATGCCTTAAAAGAAAATTAAAAAACAGTTTAATTTAATTTTTTTTATCCGCAAAAGATTGAATACCTTAAAGGGAAACACAGCAAAGTAATGAAATGTTTGGCCCAGGGTGGTGGTGCACATTTTAAATCCCAGCACATGGGAGGCAGAGGCAGCTGAATCTCCGTGAGTCTGAAGCCAGACTCGTCTACATAGTGAGTTTCAGGGCAGCCTGTGCTACATAATAAAATACTGTCTTAAAAAAAAAAAGTAAAGGGGTTGAAGAGATGGCTCAGAGGTTAGGAGCATTGCCTGCTCTTCCAAAGGTCCTGAGTTCTATTCCCAGCAACCACATGGTGGCTCACAACCATCTGTAATGGGGTCTGGTGCCCTCTTCTGGCCTGCAGGCATATACACAGACAAAATATTGTATACATAATAAATAAATATTTTTAAAAAATTGAAATATTCAAGAAAAACTCAGCATGTGTGTGTGTGTATTGCAAAATGAGGGTTCTATCCATGAAAGTACAGATGGAATAATTCATATTATCTAGCATTAGCTAAATCAATCAGCTTCTGTGCAGATATTATAACAACAGTCTGGTAAGTATTGGGATTATGAATTAACCAAGTGCTCACCTAATGCGGTTTTCTGATCAGATCTTGAGTGAGAAGAGTTTATTCAACAGGAGGATGCTGAGGACGGCAAGTGGGGATGATACAGGAGGGACCGACGCACAGTTCGGGGGTGGGGGGGTCCTTAGACACGAGCGCTACCTTCCATTCAGTGAGATGAGCACACATTCTATTCGTTTGCATGTGCTGGTCTGATGCTCCTCCAAGGCAAACATAGTTGAGCATCAGTCCCCAATTGGTGATGCCGTTTGTGGGGGTAATGGAACCTCTAGGAAGTGGAGCCTTCCGGAGAAACCATGTTACTGGACGGATGGGGGCTTTGAGAGTTTGCAGCTTTACCCCACTACCTGCCCACACTCCACCTCCTGCTTCCTCTGTGTGGATGGAGACATGATCAGCCAGCTCCTGCTCCTGCCTCCACGCTTTTCCACCATGATGAACGCCGTCCCTCTGGAACCATAATCCAAAAGAAATTAAAATGTTTCGGCTCCTAGTATTTTATCACAGCAGCAGAAATGGTTTAAAAAAGGGCGGGGGGTTACTGCTGTGAAGAACCTGACCGTGTTTTCGGGAGGAGCGTGGAAGGAAGGCTTCGGAACTGAGGACTAGAAGCTGTTGAATGCTGTAAGCAGAGCTCACAAGGCCATCCTAGTTGGTGCCTATAGGGGAGTAGTGTTAAGGGTAAAGGGGGCGGGGCTTGAGGCCTAGCTCAGGATGTTTCTGAGGGAAACAAGACTCTTAGCAATTGGGCTAGAGGCCATTCATGTGCTACTTTAGCAGGAATACAGCTGCGTTCTGCCGGTATCCTGAGGCTTTTTGTGAGGGCCACAGTCATTACTTTGGTTGAGGGAATTTCAAAGTTCCCTAACTCTTTGTCTGAGGAACAGTCATCTGTTATTCAAATCTATGGTGGAAAAAAGCAACCCACAAGGCAGATAGAAATGGGAAAATAATGTCCAGTTTGGAGAGGAAAAGAACAATAGCAAGACTAAGATTGCAGGTAGTCATGTACAGAAAAAGAGGCTGTCATTGTTAAAGACGTTAGCAGCATTAAAGAGGCTCTTCCTGCCCTGAACAGAATAGGTTATAAGCAACAGAAAGGGTTCCACGATGGCAACATACCCAGCCAAGCCTCCAACTTTTGAAAGCAACTGAAACAAACAAAAGCTGTGGCAACTGTGGTCCGAGGGGCCAGGGGCCAGCCCAAGCTGCCAACCAACTGAGCAATGCTGTCACTGTGGTACGGGTTTCGGAGATACAAAGGACTCAAGATTGAGGAGCACATGTCCTGTGGTTTCAGAGAGCCACGGAGACCTGGTAATGTGTGGCAGGGGATATCCTGAGAAGTCATTGTGTGAGGTCTGATAATGAAAGCTAGGTTTCAATAGAGACCCCAAGAAGCTGGAGATGCCAGAGCCAAGGAGACGTGAGCCTTGGAGAGCTGCATACAGTGGGCGGAGCCAGTCCGGCAGAGCTATGTGTTGCAGGCAGTGAAGCTGCAAAGCCAGAGCTATCTAAGCCCCTTGAAACCAAAGCTCCAGATAGCAAAATATGAAGCCACAGAGTTTAGGGTTTGTCCTGCTGGACTTCCTTTGATCGTCTCCCCTCACACCTCCCCACTATTTCCTTTTGGAGTGCTCATGTGTATTCTGTGCCACTGTATGTTGGAAGTATGGAAGTTAGATTTTTAAATTTTATTTTATAGGGAATCACAGTTAAAAGATTATCTTGAGTCTCAGAAGTGCCTTTTGTACTTTTGAATATTGTTGAGACTGTTAAGACCATAGAGACTTTTTTTTTAATTACTTTTTTTCCTTTGTTTTTTGATACAGGGTTTCTGTGTAGCCCTGGCTATACTGGAGTTCACTCTGTAGACCAGGCTGGCCTCTTCTGGCTTTGAAGCAGTTTATTCCTTCCCAGTGAGGACCATCTCAGTGTTCCGGGGGGAGCACATGTATGAGTTGGCCCAGCCATGAGCTCTGTAAGTTTGACAGCACATCTTAGGTGCTTTGATCAGCTGGATGAAGGACCACATCTAAGTCCCAAAGTTCAGCGTTACTCGTTCCATTTTTTAAGCATGTGCAGCAAAAATATCAGTCCTTGGGGCGGGGGAGTACTGACCCTGTGGCCATCTCCACTGTTTGGCCTGGCCACAACTACTGACTCTACTGTTACACCACTGGGATGGCACACATGGCTTCTTTATAATGATATCTCTGACACTTGGTGACCTTTTGTATATGTATACCCTCGATGGCCTGGGCAGTGTCACAGGTGTTCTTGAAATGACTATGAAGAGTTGAATCTTTTGATAGTATGATTTTTTTTTATTTTTTGGATTTTCTGTGTCAAGAGAATAATATCAAAAACCATTCTCACAGGTTACCTGAGGTTACTTACAGGAAGAGGCACCGTAGGGACCTTTGAAGTTGGGCTAAATGGATTATACATCATAAGATGGGCCATGAACTTATTGTGGGAGGCAAAGGGTGGAAAGTTGTGGTTTGAATGAGAAATGACACCATAGCTTGTGTGTTTGAACAGAGCTCATGTATCTGTAGGTAGAGTTTTTCTGTCTTGGCAGTCACTCCCTAATAACAACAAGAGACTTAATTAAATTACAAATGCTTGACTGATAGCTCAGGCTTATTACTAACTAGCTCTTACTTCTAAAATTAACTAATTCATTTCTATTTATCTATGTATTGCTGTGTAATTTGTGGTTTTACCTGCCCTCCAGTATGTCTTTCTCCCTCTGTGCCTTCTGGCAACACCTCTGACTCTGCCCTTCTTCATCCCATCATTCTGAGTTTGACTTTTCCACCTAATTTTATCCTGTTCAGCTATTGGCCAGTCAACTTGTTTATTAAATCAATCATAAAGCCATATATTCACAAAGTGTAAAGGAATAGTTCACACAAACTCCAGTTGGTGGACTATTTGTGGAGGTTACAGACCTTTAGAGCTGGAACTTGGCTGGAGGACATGTGTCACTGGGGGTGGAAATTGAGGGTTTATAGTCTCACTTCACTTCCTTGCATGCATGTGCTCTTTCTCTTTCTCTCTCTCTCCCTCTTCTATGTGTAGATGAAACATGATCAGTCAGCTTCTGTTCTTACCTCGGGGTCTTCTCTGATTATTGTCTTACCTTCTCTGCCACAATGGACTATCCCTCTTGACTCTTGAGCCAGATTAATCCTGTCTTCCCTAATTGTTTTGGTTTGCCACGATGGACTGTCCCTCTTGAATCATGAGTCAGATTAAACCCTTTCTTCCTTAAGTTGCTTTGGTTATAGTATTTTACCACAACATAGAAGTAGAAATAAAAAAATAAGGTGTGATATTCTAAAAATTATGGAAGGAAATGATAGGAAACATTAATGGGATACAAATGCAGAAGGAATATTGGAAAGAAGCCAGGAAAGTGCCACCTGGATTGTAAGGAATTTGTAGAAAAGTGGATAGAATCAAACACTTGTATTTTATTTCGGTTATTTTACAAAGCTACCTGAATGAATTCTTCCTTATGAGTAAACCTGACTTAAGAAGTGAGGGCGAAAATGGTGATGCTGGTACAGGGACTCTGGTTCACACAGGATGCCCACTGACTCAGGGGTGGCAGAGGGGTTGGGAATGAAATAGCTAACATGAATTCATTAAAAGCAATATTCTTCTTCTTAAGTCAAGGTCTTGCTAGCTAGCCCAGGATAACCTCTAACTCTGGATCCTCCTACCTCAGCCTCCTGAGTGTGGGGATTACAGGTGTGAACCCCAATGCTTGGCTTAATAATTTAAAGAAGGTCAAAGGGTATCTTAAAAAGGCTTAACTATAGATTATCGAGTAAATCTTGGTTAAGGAAAAATAATCATGAACAAGAACAAAAGAAAAAATACACACACATGACTTTCTAGGGGGAGTGAGGTCTCTAAAGCTGCAATTTGAATACATATAATTACATTCATGCAATTTGAATATACATGATTACATTTGTTGGCTGATTAATCAAGTGTTGCCATTATTGTAGAGAAAAATATCATAAACCATACTCAAATGGAAAAATTTGAGATTGAAATTTGTAAACTGAAATCATCAGTGATTCATTCCTTCATATTTATATTGACTAGGTCATCTTGGGAAAGCAAACGTCACTCAAAATCACATCACAACAATGTATCTACTGGCGGCATCAAACTGAAGCAGGAAATGCTAAGAGACCAGCCACTTCCATCATGCACTTTAGTAATATGAATCACAGCTTTGCAACCCTTGTGTGGAACACAGCTTTCTGAAGCATCCTTTCTGCTACTGGGTTACTGACTGCTCAGTATTAGAATATAGGTTAAGAATAATCCTTCTGTGTAGAAGGATTGTTTTCAATATTTAGATTTTTTTGCTTCACACAAACACACATACATACACACATGCACATACACATACACTCACATATACCTACGTACACACACAAACACATACATCTTTTATTCTGGGTTTACTTGGAAGATGATGGGTAAAGAGTTTACATTAACTAATTTTTTTTGTCAATTCGTTTAACAGTAATTTCTATGATTATATTCTAGGATAAAATATCAGACCTTTTATTTTATCCTAAGATTGACTTACATTTGTAACACTTGTAGGAGACAGATGTTAGCTGTAGATGTGTTTCACTATTGATTTTTTGGGGGTGCAGCAGTCCACTCAGGGTCCCCAGTGAGTTAGGAAGGCATTTTCCACTGAGTCACATGCCTAACCACAGGTGCTTAAAAAAAATCATCATTAGAATATATTGCATGAACACAAATTCATTTCAATAAAAAGGTTTTTTTGTTTTGTTTTTTGAGATAAGGTTTCTCTGATTCTCTAAGGTCAGCCTGGTGTACAGAGTGAGTTCCAGGATGGTTAGGGATACATAATAAGACCCTATCTCAAAAACAAAAACAAAAATCACAAACATTTTTCCAAATTATGAAACAGAGAAATAGGGCAATTGTATTGTAAAAATTTGAGACTACATTCTTTCCTTTAGAAACGAGGTCTCGTGTATCCTGGGCTGGTCTCCAGCTCACTGTGTGGCTGAGGATGATCTTGAGCTTCTGATGTTCCCAGCCTGATCTCCTGAGCAATGGAAGAGAGGATGTAACACCACATCCAGTTTGTATGGCACATTCTAGGCAAGCACGGATCAGCTGAGTTACAGTCTTAGCTCCAATACTCTTTTATTGTTATCCACATAATTATGGGGAAAAATGATGTTTTAAATGTTCTGCACCAATAATTAAAAATTAAAGCTTAATAAAAAATGTTTTCAAAGTCATTTTATTACCAGATTGAATTTATTATACAAATGAAAGCATTTCTTCATAATTATTAGAAAAGGCATCTGGGTTCGTGAGATGGCTCAGAGAGTGTAGGTTCGCCTGGCTAAGCCTGATAGCTCTAATCAGTTCCA